TTTCAGCCTGAGTGATGTTATATTGGTACGAGCAAAGATTGTTGTGTTTTGGCACGAATGATATGTTTTGACAGTTTTGTTTAATAGCGTTGAGAAGCCGACTTAAATTTGTAAAAAGTGTATGCTCAATAAATGTATTACAAATAGGTTGAAATTTTAAAGGAATTGTAGATTTATTGTTATTGCATGCATAACAATAAATATTTTTGTAAGTCATTCCTTTATCTGTTGTAACTGGGATAAGTGATAAACGATCACTATTATCAGCATCTACTCGACATTTTGCAAGAAGATTTGGCGAAACACTTTTATCCAAACACGTTGCAATAGTCTTATAACGTCCATAATCTGCATTATATTTTGCTGGATAATTTGCTTCCCTTTCTAGGTATTTATTCTTATTTTGATGAAACGTCGGGAACGTGTATGGACCGTAGCAGGAGTATGGCTTTCTTGTTAATAAAGTGTCGAAACAGCAAGATTCTGTTTCAGCACATGAACTTTTACAAGAACATGTCTTACATACAGGATTGTTGTAAGCTTTGTCTGTATTGTTTCTTTCTGTTCTTCTAATGCAAAGCATTTCTGATCCGCAAACTGAAGAAAACATTTTTTCTAGCTCATCGAGGTTTGTGAATTTTTCATTATAAATGTCGGTTTTTAATTGCACGAAATCTAGTTTAAAAACATCGAAATAGTCATTTATAAAGTTCTTCACAAATAATGCAAACTGTTCAAACATGTTTTCTGCTTTAAATTGTAAATTAATCTCAAACCGCGATTGTAAATTTAAAGATTCCTTTTCTTCAATGTCTTGCAATATCATAACTTGATCATACAGTCGGTCAAATCCTCGGTTGCACACGTAACAATAAACATTTTTAAAGGGAAATAATTTGTCAGACGCTGGAAATTTCAAACATGCTTCGTAAAGCACATTATTTGTTGCTGAGTTACATGTGTCAATTACAGGTACAGGTTGCATGTTTGCATGGCTTGGGTTACATATGTAACAGAACACATTTTTAAAATTCTTGTAAGGGGTTATGAAGTTCAGGCATGCCCAGTCGGTATCGGCGTCATATGTTTCCCATAATCCAGAAACATTACATTTATCCACGCGGCTAATACTAAGATAATCATTAGTTTGATCGTTACAATTAAGACCATAGAATGAATCGGACTGAAATGCCACTCTACAATCGTTATCATCAAGTGACCTCTTCATTTCAAAAAGAGACGAAAATCCATGCATTTGTTTCTCGAATCCATTTGCTTCCCCAATTCTCCCGGGATGCTTCCAAGAAATTTCCCCAACTTAAAATTTTTGTTACATATATGCATGCTTATTTCTATAACTTAGCCCAGACCCGCCCAAAGTACAGGGGTCAATTTTTTCAATACAAAAAACAGTTAAATTGATTTTTTTGTTTTTGGGGGATTAAATTTTAAAAGACACAAATCCTCCCAATAATTTATGCAATTTGGTTTTTTTTCCCCGGGGAAAAATATTGTTAAATTTGCACTTGAAATTGACATAAAAAAGGTGCGAAAACAGGACAAAAAATTACCTAAATAAAACCACACAAATCGTCACAACACGCACTGAAAGCATTCCTGAAATTTTAAATACAACTTGTAAATTCCCAAACCCTTTTAATTTCTTTTTTTGGGAATAAAAAACTTTTGGGGGTCAAAAAAATTTTTCATTTCATTGTAGTAAACTTGTTTTTAATCAAAGGCAAACAAAAAGATGATTACAGTATTTATACGTTTTCTATTTTAACTAAAATGTTGTTCTTTAACAATTTATTTTTACAATGTTTACTATAGAGCTCAATTGATTTGATCATTCTTTTACTTTTTTAATTCTAAAATAATATATAAAAATATTTACCTGTTACATTTGGGAACAATTCATCGGGATACAACAAAGTCTGTTCAGTTTTAACACCACACGAGTCCTTTATTGGACAAATGGATGAATACTGGGTAATAAGCTGTTTTATATCAACATATCTGCCTTCCCTATTCTCAATAAACTTTTCCGTAAAAGAACATGTGTAAATGCTAACATTATGAGTTATCGAATGATTTCGTTTTTGTTCGAGCAAAGTTGTACTTTTATTCACGATATCATGATTTGGTCTGTTTCTGACATATATAAACAGGAAATATTGGGAAAAAAAAGTATCAAAAGGGGAAAAAAAAAATTTGTAGGCGATATAACTCCTTTGCAAGTAGGGACGACACATTTTAAACTTTCTTAAATATTTTTTGTAACTCCATTCCTTAATTAATGATGTTCATTTTGTTTTCAATGACATACAAACTGAATTACAATTCCTGTAATTCATTAACCCTCAGGTTACTAATGGAATTTAAACTCGAAATTTGCTATATTTAATAGCTACACAGATGTTGCTTTCACCGATGTCACTTGCGCAATAATAAATATATCATTCACTAGTGACTTTATACTCAGACAAAGTTATTGAATGTTAAATTTCCCCTCTATGCGATTCAATGAATGTATAACGGTATTGTTTATCATATGGGAAAGTATTTCTGATTACGTGATATTAACAATACCAGCGTTTGATAATTACAAACATTTCAACTTTTAAAGCTATCAGAATATGGTATCTTGGAGATTTTAGCTTATAATTTATATGCAAATCTCTTTGATTTGTTTTGCTTAAACATAGCATAACATCGATACGGCTTAACAAATTTTATTCTTATTTACTACACACATATAAGGAAAATGCTCCTACTTTAGACTAAGCCGTAAAGAAAGAAAGAAAAACAATAGTGCATTTTATATATTTCAAAATACCTCAAATTTCATTTAAAAGGATTCCACTGAGGTATTTTGACATGATGGGACTGAAAATATTTTTTCCAGATAAATGTACAATTTGATGAAGGTTTAGACAACAAATCTTTGCGCAAACTTTCAGATCATTCGCGCACTTCGTTTTTCCAGAATAAGTATTCAAATTGTAAAAACATGACCCAAAATGAAAAGCGTTTAATAAACGCTTTTCACTCAAATCGGGCTAAAATGCATAAAAATACGTTCAATTTATTTCAAAGTATATTTCTTGACTATCTTTGCATATATATATTTCTGTTTAAAGTGTCCCAGTTCATTTAAGTAAAAACATTCAAATGTTATGTTTTAGGGTTTTAAACGTCAGTGGAGTTCCTTTAAGAGTTTAATATATTTGTGCTTCTTTTGGTTCCTATGTTTGTAAATTGGCTATTCGATACCTGTTAAGCCGGTGCTAGAGAGACACATATGTTATAAATCTAATTATCTTTAATTAACACACATTGTTTTACCTTTGCCAAACACGAATCTCAATTTTGCAAATTTTAAGATTTTTTAGAGGAAAATGGATACAATTTTAATCACTTATAAAAAGGAAATTAAGTAACAATTACAGTTTCTTTTACTCATGCATGCATTTTGTAAGACCTCCTGTAGTTTGATTTAGTCTAATGACTGTTATAATCTAATTTTGTTTAAACTATCAATAAAACGCTTTGAGTTTCATTGAGCGTTTATTGAGTGCTGCCTTTCTTTGTTGATCTTGTTATCATATTTTATACCTGTAATTAAATGGTCTTTAGCTCTATCTAATGTAATATTTTATTTAATAAATAAACGGTTAAGTAATGTTGTATCCATTATCATATGGTCGATTCTTGAAAGAGTTTTAATATACGGGAATATCTCGGTAATTCAACTCGCAATACAGAATGCATTGTTCCTAATATTTTACTTTTTTGTAGAGATTTAACTGATTTTCTGCATGTATGCCCTTCGCTTTTAAGGAAATATCGAAACTTTATTGTTTCATAAAGGTATTTTTTTCACTTTTTAATTTGAAAAAAACACTTGCACCAGATAATACGGTTTTCTCAATTTTGTAGCTACGAAAGAATAAATACGATTTGTATTGTGTTGGTATACATTAAACTTGTTTAAGTGACGAAAATAATGCTTTCACAATTTTATATAGGACGAAATAAGAAGAAAGGTAAATTACATAGTTTCCTCTGCGTCATTTGTATACTTATACACCAATGAATGATCTCCTAAATATTTCTGTACTTATTTATAAATATTCATATAGTTGCACTTCCATTAATTGTTGCACAATATATTAATCTCATTTTCATATTACTAGTACGGTTTAATTTCATGAAGTGTTTCCCTTGATGATGAACGGTGCGATTATCAGATTCATTATTTATTTAGAAAGCTCTAGGGAAAAATTAATAACTCACACTGATCATTATATTACTAACATTCAATTACAATCAGATATTAGGTATATAAGGATCAAATTAATGCTAAAACTATCTGAACGATTCTGACATTGGCTGCATCGGTATCAAAAAAATTTAAAAGTACTTGTAAGATTGAAGACCTACATGTAACTGCTGTTTTGTATTGAAATAAACGCACAAGTCGCAGAATATGTTACAAATATTCAATATTCGTGCTTTATGTAAGGGATATGTTGCAGCAATAAATTGCTTGATATTTTTTCATTATATCAGATATACGTTAGAAACAACAAGTAACGATAATGGTAATAAAGTTTGCAATACGCAATCCACTGTTTTAAATGAAACTTTAACATCGTGTGCATTTGTGGAAGAGTTCATTGAAAAGAGGACAGGAAGATATGTGGATTTTCAAAAGCTTCTTTTACAATATGCATCCATTTGTCCAATGCAGGATGCTTGTGATGTTAAAATTAACCATACATTGGTGTATCCTGATGAATTGCACGATACTGTAACAGGTAAGTGTCTGAATATATTTTGAAGACATTTAACAATGAGTCGTGATTTTGAACATACAAAAATATTCATAAAGATTTGGATAAAAGGTAAAGAAGGTGTAGTATTCATTTTTGTCTTTCTTTCTCTTTTTTGTTCATTATTCATTTAATTTCGGTATATTAAAACAAAATATTCAAGTCTAATTTATTCTGATATATTTTTATCTTCAGAATATTTCTCAAAATTCAGTGTTAGATTAAATGTTTTTCATTTCAGGTTGTTTTCGGTGTAAGTGTGATCGATCATGCGCTTATTTCGGTAATTGTTGCCCTGGCTCACATTTTGGTTACGTAGAATACACGTGCGAAAATACAAAGCTTTATCCAAAAGATACTGAATTGAAATACTATATGGTAGGATCGTGTCTTGAAAGTTATACTGACAACAAAACGGTTATTGAACTGTGCAGTGAAGAAGTTGCACCATGTACTGGAACAGTATCTCAGTTGATATACAAAAATAAGCATTGTGGCAAATGTAATAAAGAGCCTGAATGCACTGAATGGAAAATATCAGTAGAATGTGGCAACGCAAAAGCCACTTTGAGGAGCAAATGCTTACATTCTCTTCACATTTAGACATGAAAAGAGCACTGGATGAGAACAACTGTTTGGTAACATTTCAGCCACCTAATT